TACTACTCATCAATTAGGACATTTCTATTAGAACTTCCTTGAATTATGGGAACAAGTTGAGGTATGGTAGTGATAAATAACCTCCTATTTCACTCCAACTACTTTGCCAAAAATGAATCCAAAGACCCGTTTGTTCATCAGCAGACGTCAGGTGGTGATGGTCCATTTGGCCTAGGCTAGAGAGCACAACACTACGAGTGATGGTTGCCAACTGTCTTATGCCCTTAGCATTAGAATTAGAAATTAGCAGGCTTCTAGGAAATCTCTTAAGAGTTTGTTTCAACGACATAGTTTCCAAACAATCATAGCTTCTTTTTAATTTTTGAGTCCAAAATCACGGACATATTCTATTTTACTAGTTCTTTGTGGAGTCTCTAAATCTACTGTCATTATTCTACTTCCTGCTCTGTGCCCTGGGAGGATGAAGTCTGCAGACGACACACATTGGGTTCTTTTGCCCTCTGTCTCCCTTGCTTCTTATCTACATTTTTGCTGGTGGTTGCACCCCACGATGCTTTCTTTATCACATCTTATAAATTGACTTTTCATTAAAGTATCTTGAACACCTTTTTGAAATGTACTTGAACACCTTTTTGAAATGTAGTTGAACACCTTTTGGAACGTTTTGGACCTTGACAACAACAAAGCTAACCAAAACAAGGCTCCATAAAATAAAGGTCTTGTTAGTATTACTATTACTTTACTCTTTCAGTGGCTTTTTAAAGAATTACATTTTAAAATCAAACACACGTTTTATCATACGCATGCACAACACCACCAACTAGAAGCAGAAGTTCTTAGCCATGTCTTTTGCATTTAGAACATATTCAATGAATGTTAACACAGGTTACATAATGGATTTTAGCTTGTCTAAGACTCAGTTTTTCATGACAATTCGCAAGGAAAGAATTCAGACAAGGTTTTTGACCTGCTAACTTGACTTCTAAACACTAAAACATACCAATCTACACATAGCATTTTTAGTTTATTAGGCTTCTTTTAAGTAATTTTCTGGAGAGTCTATTTTGGGAGCAGGAAGCGGGGTTAGAGGTTTTGAGGGTATAGGAACATTATAAGTCAGAGTCTAAAGGAAAAGATAATCTCAAAATATAACAGTTTTAAAAAAGTTTATTTTCAGTGCACTGTACAAAAATAAGAAATATGCATTCTGACCTTAATCAACTCCTTATTCTGCTCTTCAGCTGGAGATCCAGCGTCTGGTCACAGCCAGAAACACAAGAACAGAGGAACCCATTGATATACTCACAGAGGCTACTCCTGGCATTAAGATAATACAAGGAAGGGTAGGAGGAATATCTGAAGGGCAAAGGTAAAGCTTGTTGACACAGTGGTCATTTGCTACTGGTACTCATTTATATATATTTCTTAGCTCATACAATATTTTCACGTGAAATACTTCATTAGGTCATTAAACTTTCGATAAGCTGTCTTAAATGCCACATTTAGGAATTCTGTAGAAGATGTATAAAGAAAGAGTTTATCTTTTGAAAAACAAATTCCAATGCCATGAAGTTACTGACCAATTAAATGTCTCCCAAATGTAAAATTGTTTGTATTTTTATTTCTTCCTTTCTTCATTTATTTATTTGTTTTTAACATTTTTCATTTAAAATTATTCTGCATATATTTATGGGGGATATAGGTATTTTGACATAAGTATACAATTTGAAATGATCAAATCAAGGTAATTAGAATATGAGTCATCTCAAGCATTTACATTTTTTGGATTAGAAATTCCGATTCCACTATTTTGGTTGTTTTGAAATTAACAATGAATTATTATTAACTATAGTTGCCTAACTGTGCTACAGAACACTAGAGCTTATTCCTTCTAGCTAACTTTCTTTTTTTATATATCCAGCATTTATTTACTTCTACACTAATTTAACAAAAATTCACTAGCACATTTATCGAATAGCTTCAATATATGTTGACCCAGAGGGCTCACTTCTGATGGACGTGATCTCTGCTATTTACAATATAATGGAAAACTATTAGGTTTCAAAATATGAAGCATAGCTTATTGGGATACGTTTTCAAATATGTTAAATCAATGTCATTAAACTGTAAGTAAACTCACTTTTGTTCAAATTTTTAATTTTTCTGATTATGAAATGATTACAGAATGTATGGTTTATGAACCAGAGTCTAGAACTCAAATTTCCTGACATCAAGGCCATTGCTTTTTATACACTAAGTTACTTTTTGTTATTAAGAATTGATCATCCTTATGGGCAAATGATGATTCTTATTTGCTTCTTTTCCTCACTGTTTTATAAGAATATATCAATCTTCACTCTTATCAAACATATATCGTATTTATTTATCTTAAGACTTGGAGTTTAATTTTAAGAGAAAAAGAATGACTAAAGGAAATTCTTTACATTCTGACAACAATTAGCCAAACCTTAGAATGCTGGAAGTTTAGTATGAGCTTCTTAGATTTTGAGTAATCATATAACTCACATTTAAAATTGTGAATTTATTCAACCATCCAAGTTACTTTTCAATGTTCTGAACTCCCTAATTTGGTCTGAAGAATCTGATAGAATCTAAATAAATAGGAAGTATCTACGAACTGTAAAGGCAAAGATTTCTTTCCTTCTTTCTTTTTCTTTTTGAAGAATAAAACCATGTAATAAAGCTTCAAGAGTGGGACACTCCATGATGCACTTTCTAAGCAGGTAATTTTTCTATTATTGATGCTGCCCTCATTTAATTAATCACCTGGAGATAGGAACAGGGACTTCAGGGTACGGTTTTGCATTTGCAAGTTGATGTGGGCATTACTGTTTAGACAGGAAGAGTGTTTTCCCACATAAGAAATCAGAATCTTAATTCAGACAACAGATTAAGCCAGCCAAAAATAAATAACTACATTAATAAGTACTCCAAAAGTGTTAAAGAGAAGTTTAATTGCTGGAAGGAATCTACTAAACCAAGAGTGAGGATTCGGAAAAAAGATGCAGATAATAAATAACATTTCGTATGGTGTCTCCCTTACTCTGTTCATGGAAAACATTATTCAACTCCTTAATGTAAACCACTAGATCGTGCACAAACTATTCTCAGAACGACTTTTCCACCATAGCTCCTTCTCCTCTTCGCTGAGTCTCTCTAGCCATGCAGTCGCTCTCTTTGTTCCTGGAAAAGGCATTGCTTGTTCATGCCTCAAGGCTTTGTACTGACTGTGTCCTCTGTCTGAAGCGCTCTCCCTCACAAGGATGGCTCCTCATCTCCATTCATATTTCAGTTCATACACCACCTCCTCAAAGGTCTCTTTGTCATTATTCGATTGTATTTCTTCTTGTGATCTGTCTGATGTCTTATCTGAAATCCTGTCATGTATTGGCTCATTTATCAATCCCTGTCTTTGCAGCTAGAATTAAGTATCGGGAGAACTGGATCTATGATTGATTCGTCATTGTTATCCTGGTGCCAAAAGTAGAGCGTGGCTCATGTCATGTGCTCGATAAATATTTCTTGAAAACCTGGTTTATAAAAGGCAGTCTTATAGACTGATTGGCACTGTAAGGTCTGGAGTCATAGTCTCCAGATTCAAAATCTTGTTCTGCTACTTCCTAAATTTGTAGCCTTGGATGGATGCTTCAGTCTCCTCACCTCTAAAATGTAAATACTACCTGCCTTACGAGTTGTTTGGAAAATTAAACACTTTTATATATATATATTTTTTTTGAGACGGAGTTTCGCTCTTGTTACCCAGGCTGGACTGCAATGGCGCGATCTCGGCTCACCGCAACCTCTGCCTCCTGGGTTCAGGCAATTCTCCTGCCTCAGCCTCCTGAGTAGCTGGGATTACAGGCATGCGCCACCACGCCCAGCTATTTTTTTTTTTTTGTTTTTTTTGTATTCTTAGTAGAGACGGGGTTTCACCATGTGGACCAGGATGGTCTCGATCTCTTGACCTCGTGATCCACCCGCCTCGGCCTCCCAAAGTGCTGGGATTACAGGCTTGAGCCACCGTGTTAAGACCATGCCAGACATATATCATGAAGGAAAATACGTAAACATACGCGCATATAGCACAACGTATGTAACATAACATAGCACATGCCAGGCAAGTGTTGGACAGTTAGCTGTTGTAAAACACCTGGATGTGAGCGCATGTGTGTGTGTGTGTGTGTGTGTCCTGCAAAATTCCTGTGAGTAGTTTCAGAGTCTTACTCAAAATAGCTGTGCCCACTACCACTTGACAATGATTCTGTATCCCATCTGAGATGAAACCTCTTTGCTATTACTCCTGTGAAGATCTATCTGTTCACACATGCGTGCATGTGTGTGTTTTTTTGGTCTGATACCATTTTAAAGATAGTTTATTTGCTTGCAAATTAAGAAAATCATGAACATTTCAGGGAAAACATGATCCAGAAACTAAAGTCATAGGTAGGAAGAGACTTAATACTTTTAAAGCTTCGGAGAGGGCAGTTTAGTCTCTAACAACTTTCTCAAGCTCCCACCTCTCCCCTCCAGACCTCCCCCACCTCCCGCCACACCCCAGTTGCAAGCACTGTCTCTCTGGACTCAGTTCCAGTGCTTTTAACTTCTTGTGCTTCCTGTCACCCCCCATATTGTAGACATTATGTCTGCGTGCTTAGCTGCCACAGTTGGTTTCCTGTAATTCCGTTACTCAAACTCCCATCTGGGGGGTTTCGATAAGTAGAAAATATAAAAGAACAATTTGTAAACACGTGTTTCTATAGTTCTCAACACAATGTGGAGGAACAAGGGGAAGTCAGAAGTCCCCGATCTAATCTTTAGAATTGTAAAGCAGTCATGACTATTTTGACGCGTTTAATTTTGTGGAAATGACATTTGTGCTCCACATGAGTGAGGTTTTGGTTTTCCTGTGTTAATTCTTTTAGCATTTTCCTCATTTAATAACACACAACATAAGTGATAGAAATAAAATTATTGTATATTTGTTTCCAATATTTTCCTTAAACATATAACATGAAATTTCATTTGACTCGTATCGTAGGAAGACACTAAAAAAAAAAAGAAGAAGAAAAAAAAACTGGTGAGGAAGTATAGTGAGAAAAGTCTGAGGAATGAATATATGACTTGGAATATATGTTTTGTTTTTTTTTTTTTTTTCACAGAATGCTATATGTTTGGCACCTTGAACTAGTACTCTGCTTACTGTTGAGAAGACTTTTTAAAAATTTAAAAAACACTGAGATAGAAAAGTCTCATCCAAAAGACAATCTTTGGTGGTTAAATAGTAGGGAGGGGAACATTATTGGTAATATCAATTTGCAAGCCATGAAGATAAAGTCTCCAGTGTGGACTGAAGGTACTCCCTCTTCCAAGAAGGGAAGAGAGAGATTGGGTTTTATGTCTCAGGGGGCTGGTTGGTGTTAGACATACTCAGGAGGTTTGCAGACAAAGCTATGCATATTTATGAGGGGAACCAAGTCCGTATGCCTTGGATAAACATGTATGTAACATATATCCCATGTTCACTTTGTGATGGAGATTCAGTGTTAAAATGAAGTGGCATTTAGCTGATTAAGTCAAAAATGAAATATAGGACACAAAGACACTTTAAGTGCAGCTGCTGGCTGCACTTGGCTTAAAATCTAGTCTGTAATAGCTTATTAGAAAAGATTGTAAGGGAACCAGGTAGAGTGGCTCACAGAAAAAGGATCACTTGAGCTCAGGAGGACAAGTGTGCAGTAAGCTATGATCATGCCACACTGCACTGCAGCCTGAGCAACACAGAGAGACTCTGTCCCCGAAAAGAGAGAGCAGACGAGAGGAGAGGAAGAGAGGGGAGATAAGGGAAAGGGAGGAGAGAAGAGAGGAGAAGTTTGCAAAGCGGGGCTTCTGTCCAGTTAGGATTGTTGTGGTCTGGGTTGTAAATCAGCCAGCTAACTGCGACTGTTAGAGGGTTTAGCAAGGGTGTGGTTTTTCTTACAGTGGGAGGAATGCAAAAATTTGTCACGCCAGCTGGTCCCTGAATCCTCAACCTGTGGGTAACTTTTATTTCCTTAACCGTAGGGTCGCTCGTAATCGATAAAAGAAACTATCTATTTTGGTCTCTTAGACCACTAAGAAAACAATGAAATAGCAAAATATGCCTACAATAAGCTGAGACTGGAAGAAACTGGCTTCCAATTCCCACATTGCAGCAAAATAGCACGTTGTCAAAGGGAGCCCATGCTTGTACCTTGGCTGCTGTTTGGAGGGTTGGATCTGGAAACGAGAGAACCCAGCTAGAAAGGGACAACTTTGAAATCCTGCCAGTGTAACTTGTCAGAGAAAGTGGATTTTCCATATGGGGTTCTGTGTTATTATAGGCAATGTAATTCCCCTTTTTGAGCCTCAGACACTTGACTTAAAAATAGTGGGGTTGGACAAAATATATGTAAGATGTCTCTTGGATCTAACAGTTTCTGTCTACTAAAACCTGTCTCCCAACCCATTCATTGTTTTTTCCAAAAAATTTTTCAAATTTGTGATCCTTCTACCCAATCTGAGGCATGAAAATGCTTTTTGAGGCCTTAATGCTTAGAGACATATGTATGTGAATAGCCAAAGTTCTATTACAAAGGGGAAAAATAAAATACATTGAGAAAAATAACATAGGAATGGCTAATTCTCAGAGTTTTACATGAGTTGTTTTCTTCTAGGAAAACATTATAAATCAACCGCATGGTGAGAGTATATAATCTACTTTTTCGAGCTATTTTGTGAGCATGGTAAACTAAATTAGCATAGGGTTGTAGAAGACAAAAGGGAAAAAATGATGAACAACAGAAGATGTAGTGCTGTCTTGAAAACTAATTAAGTTAACTTTTCTACTGAAGGACCATACAGCTGAGGGCCTTAGCAATAATGCTTCCCGCATCAGGGTAATAGTTCTAATACAACGCATGCTGCTGATAAGCAAAATCAGTTCTAGCAAATCACTCTTTCAGAGTTTGCAGTAACTAAATAGATGGACAAAATTCAATCTCTTAAACCACTGCCTGTCACCAATTTATACACTGATCTTGCACAAATGTAAAAATAAAGGAAAACTCAATTCAATCTTAAACTTGAGCTCTCATTCCTTCCAAATCTTTCTTAGGTCAACAAACTTTGAGTGATTGTCCACACTCTGGAAAGTATTTAGTGATTGTTGACTCTAGCTCATAACAAGCTGGGGATAGTCTTCATTTTCCAGAGCTCACTGACAGTCTAAAAATAAGGTACATGTTAAATGAATTGAGTGGAAAATGACTTTCCTATTGCAACAGAGACTGATACTTATTCAGTGGGGTGGTTAGTCTATCACCCACATCCATTTTCATCCTTTTCTGCCTTGCTGAGGACCTTGGAGGGCTGATATCTGTGAGTTGCATTATCCAGACTCCTTTGGACACTCCTTGAGTGTGGATCAATGGGAGGCACCAGCCAGAGCCTGGAGAGCCAGAGGAAAGAGAAGTCAGGGTATTTCTTTTTCATCCCTCTCACCGCATGGCTCCAAGTTCCGGCAAGGATTGCATTCCTCTACCTGGTGCTACAGGTCCTATTTTAAGCAACTTCTCTTTACAAGGGTCCAGATCTCGCCTAGCTCTAGTAATTTTATTTTATTTCCTTTTCCCTTTAGGTCTAAGGATGAGAAGAGCATCCTGCTGCTGCCACAAGTTAGATGTATCCATCTTTGGTTTCCTTAAATTGGCTCATACCTTTGCAAATAGGCTTTCATTAAATTCTCATTAACTGAGTCATCCTTATGTTCTATTTGTTTCCTGCAGGATCCCTGACTGATATGATTAGCAAAACTAAAAACATGGTAGATTCGGGATCAAAATGAGTATTCAAAAATTAAGGAACAGTTTTAATTTAAATATTTAAATGTTCACTCATCAGTCTTTTGATATAAGGAAATGGAATATGTGCCTATTGATTAGAATTCAAACTTGCCTTTATTATATGATTCTCACACATAATGCATTGCACGTAATTCAATTTTTGATTTCAGCTTCATCAAATGGGATGAAAACTTAGACTTGTAAAATAAGTATATTATCCATCTGGAATTTATCTCATTCTTTTATATCGCTTCATGCTCACCCAAAGTAGGAACAGTTTTTTGCAATATTCTTCATTGCTTCTTTATAAAATATTCCATTTTGTTTTAAAAAACGCAGAAAGTTTTTTCTTCTTTGCTCTGATCAAATATTACAGAAACACAATGAAATACAATAAATAATTGTAATAAAAAGTACAAATGTAATAAGAAAGTTTGAAAACAAATGCAACTTATTTGAATAAAAAAGCACAATAAATAGAAGCAGGAAAATGTCAAGATATTATAGTCTATTGGCTGTTCATCTATCCTTTTTTTCCCCAGAAAAATGTACAATGTTGATTAAACTAATACTTCAGTTAAGTAGAAGGGGATTATTGGAGTTTTATTTTTTAATATGAAAATAAAATTACTGAAGATATGAAAGCATTAAAAATGTACATTGAAAAGCTTCAGAGAGGGGAGGTTAGAAAGAGTTCCCCAAAGTAATATAGAAGTCAATACCTGAAGTATGATTAGGATTTAGCTAGGAGAGGAAGGAAAAAGATTATTCCCCCAGAGAGAATACTATGAGGAAGACATTGTTATACAAAGAGAACATCAAATGTGAAGCAAGAGAGTAACTTCAATTGAGATGTGAAGGCAGGCTCACTATGTGATATTGTATAATCTGACCAGGTTTTTACCTGTAAAATTAGATATTAAAACTCCCCTCATGGGGAAAGGTGAGGATTGAATTAAATGGCTCACGTAAGAAGTTCTCAGTGTGGTTGTTCTTCTTAGGGAGATTAATCTACTCCTGCTAATATCAACAAGAATGGGTTTGTCACACATTGTTATAAAAGTCATGAAAAGACACACCGTATATATCACTAGAATACAATCAGCCCCAATTTAGAATGTTGAAAATTCCAACTTTACGACAAGGGAGCAGCTATTCACTTTGTCATTATTAAATTTGTCATGAATGATTTATTTTAAAATGTGAAAAAAACACTATAATGTGTTACAAATCTGTGAAGAATTTTAACATTATCCCTATAATAATGATTACAATAATTGCCAATATAATGCCTATTGCTTCTCAGAACTGCTTCAGTTGTTCTTAGGTCTATCCTAGGTAGGTATACAGAAGAACGACATTATTCCGCATGACTTGGGGGTGCCCTCTGCCTAAATCTGTTCCAGGATCTTTGAAACAGGAGCTGAAAACCTTGTATTCAACCATCCCAGATTTCATTTTTTCACTGCCAGTATTTCCACTGGCCACTCCTCCCCCTCCACTTTAATTCTCTTGGTGTGAGACAGGCAAGACCCTACTTGTGACATCGGGCGAAGGAAATTCTAGCAGGCTTGAGAACTGAAAATTTGTTTTTGTTTTGTTTTGAATTTTAAGATAATATGCTTCAGTTAATCTTTCACTTCTGAAGAACATTGCTTTGCAAACGCCTATAAATTATTCTGAAAAAAAGATGGTCACATATGTGTTCCCTTTCTTTACAACATTATAATGTGATTGTGAGATTTGGATGCTGATTTCAAGTTATCTGAGGTGAAGCGAAGTCACAAGTTCCAGGTGTAATGTGCTATTGGATGTCCTGTACGGATGTAGGGGAAAGAAGGAAAAAGTTATTGCCACATCCCACCCTTGTCCAAAGAGGATGGTTAAATTTATCTTTTTGGATAAGAATTTCAAGAGACTGAAATGTCACTGTGGGTGAGAGGCATTGCTTAGATATGCATACTGAAGAGTTTATACATACATCGATTTGCTCTCCTGGATATTCAACAAAATAATTGTGTAGGACTAGGCACATGAAATGCTAGTGACCTTATCCAAATAAGGTCACTAGCATTTCATGTGCCTTATCCTTAATAAGTATTTGACCTTATTTGACCCAGTTATTAGAACTGGGTTATAAGTACCCTAAGACTCACCTTACTATTCTTTCTGTTTTTTTTCTAAGTTCACTATTTTTCTTTCTTTCTTTCTTTCTTTTCCTGCTCATTTGCTTTGTTTGAGGTTCATGCAGTGTGGCTTTGCCTAGTGCTATCTTTTACCATGGACTGTCTGTCTCTCAGATTAGACACAGCCATCAAATATTTAACTTATTTTTTATTTCTTAACTTATTTAACATATAACTCGCTTTTCTCTTCCTCTAGGCCAGGCGTCCCCAAACTTTTTACGCAGGGGGCCAGTTCGCTGTCCCTCAGACCGTTGGAGGGCCGCCACATACTGTGCTCCTCTCACTGACCACCAATGAAAGAGGTGCCCCTCCCTGAAGTGCGGCAGGGGGCCGGATAAATGGCCTCAGGGGGCCGCATGCGGCCCGAGGGCCATAATTTGGGGACGGCTGCTCTAGGCTGTACATTGGCTATGCTGTGGTCTCAAGTTCTACAGAGACATGATTAGGTTTGACGTTAAATTTAGGGAAATGGTTGTGTGAGCTAAATGTCTGTGCTCCCCCTCAAATTTATATATTGAAATTCTATTCTCCAATGTGATGGTATGGACTGTACTGAGGGTACACTTATTGGACTCTGCCTCCAGTCAATTACCAGGGCACCCATTCTACAGATTGCTTGAGGTAAGTGGTTTATCTATGATGTAAACCTGTGACTTTATTATTCTTCTATTTAAATTTCTAAATATCTTTCCTCTCCTACTTCTTCAATGAAGTTACAAAATTACTTGTGATGGTAAACATTGTCCCACCTTACCGGGCTCGTTTGCTGTGCACCAGCCACAAACTTCAACTGAACCTCAACCATGCCTTCCTAGCATACCTCTCCACTTCTGCCCACCCTTCCCTTCTTCATATTACTGTGAATGCCCACAACAATTGTATTAGCACCTTTGATTTTGCATCATCTCAAGTCGTTTTTTGCATATCCACTTTTTCTTATTTTCTCTCAAAAACTAAGTGAATGTTGAAATTATTTTAGCTTCAATAAGATTAAAAAATCCTTTATGTAATGGGCAGACATTATGTGTGTGTGTGTGTATGCATGTGTGTTTGTCGAGTGTGCTGTGTGTGTGTGTGTGTGTGTGTGTGTGTGAGAGAGAGAGAGAGAGAGAGAGAGAGAGAGAGAGAGAGAGAGAAAATTTGGTACATTAGTCTTTTCTAGACTAAAATAACTACATGGATTCTTCACCAACATTTTGGAAAATCAGGCTATGAAAGACAACTCCACTCCCTGCCACCCAAGATAAAGTTCAATTCTCTTTACTGTGGAATGGAAACTCTGTCAGGCCCAGCATCTAAGTTCCCCTCTAGCCTTAACTCCAGTCACAACTTGTCCTTCTAATTTAAACTTCAGTAATAATGAACTCCATACATTTCCCTTTCACACCTTTACATCTTTATGCTTTTCTAATTTCCTTGTCCGTTTCTTCCTTTAGTTAACAGGCTAATGTCCACTCATCTCTCTCTCTTTTTGTTGACACGGAGTTGTCTAGCTTCCTCTACCCCCAGGATGAAGCATAGTGGTGCCATCTTGGCTCACTGCAACCTCTGCCTCCCAGATTCAAGTAATCCTCCTATCTCAGCTTCCCTAGTAGCTGGGACCACAGGAGCATTCCAACACACCTAGCTTATTTTTGTATTTTATCAGAGATAGGATTTTACCATATTGGTAAGGCCGGTCTTGAACTCGTGACCTCAGGTGATCCACCCACCTCAGCCTCCCAAAGTGCTGGGATTATAGTCTACTGCACCTGGCCATCTCACCTTTTTAGACTCAGCTTACTAATCACCAGTTTTTAAAGGCTCCCCGATATCCTTGTTCATGCAGTTTCCTCTTACAGAGATAGCATCCAATACCTTACTTACTGCGGATAGTTACTAAATTTTGGAGCTGGAGCTTAGATTAGAACGAGGTATGAAATCGTCTTTGGCTATGCTGACAGTAAACTACTTGCCCATCCTATTAATGTTCATAGTCACAGGACATACCATATAATATCACTTGACAGATTTTCTTAAAATCATATGTATGTATATATATATATATATTTTTTTTTTTTCTAGAATATATTTTCCTCAAGGAGAGAGCTTATGTCTACATCACCATGGTGCCATTCTCTCTGCTATATAATATGTATACTATTATTATACATGAAATGGATGTTAGAAAGGCCCTATTCTGTGCCTCACTGCTAGTTAGCCATTCCTAATATATACATAACCCCATCACTGGTTGCCGTTTTACTTTCTAACCCCTGACCCTACCCTCTGTTAATTTGATGGCAAATAAATGAAAGAGCTGTATTAAGGAAACTGCTTGGGAGACTGGTGGGTTAAAAAACGACCTATCAGGGACTATGCTCACAACCATGGTGACGGGACTCATAATCCAATCCTTAGCATCGTACAATATTTCCATGTAACAAATCCATGTTACTCCCTGTATCTAATATAAAAGTTGAAAATAACAAAGAAAAAAAAATACCCTCAAACTGAATCATGAAGAGAGTGGCCAGAACAAGGACTATTAGTCCCTCACGCAACATTGGCAAATGACCTTGGAAAGTAACATTTAGGTGGAGGATTCATTACCCGAGATGGTAAAATATCCGTAGTTAAATATGAGACAGAAACTGGAACAGGGTTGGGGCTTAGAAATAAGGGGATGAATGAGAGCTGATGTTTATTGATCTTCTACTATGGCTTGATCTACTGCTTTATTCAACAACAATTTCCTAGTGAGCATCTGTCTTGTGCTTGGCATGGGGATAGGAACTAGGGTTTCCAAAGTCAACAAAAGACATCCAGTTGAGATTCTGCCATCACAGAGTTTACTGACCAACAAGAATTAAAAAACAAAAAACAAAAAACCAAAACTCACTTTATTTAATCCAAGATAATAAACACACTGCCAAAAGGTTATAGACACACAGGCCAAATGAACAACGGAAAGCCACATCAGAGGCTGCCTCAAAGCATAAGACTTTTTTTCCCTCTGCTTAATAAGAAATAAATTATCATTGTCATCATCTTCCAAACACTTCTCCTTTTTTTTCTGCTTGCCCCTCTTGCCCTCCTTGGGATACTTGTCTTCTCTTGATGTGTGGTAATATGATGAATGGTGAAAGGGTCTGGAAGGCTTCTGGGTTTTAAAACTGCCAGGAGAGGAGTAGGTTTTGGGGCCCCTGGGATAATCTTCATTCACTTCACGATGTCTGTCAGCCCTCTTGTGCTTCCCCCAGTTTCTATTCTTGTTCTTCATTTCTTTTTGTGTGTCTTTATTTTCTTGAGGCCACCTGTTGCTTTTCCTCGAGGCATGACCCTTTCTTGTATCATGGTAGAGGTTGTCATTTGCTCCTTCTATGTAAGGCAGCATGGATGGCTCTGGGAAATCCTTGTTTTTCTTTAGGACTTTTATTTTTTGTTTTAGTCTCTTTTCTCTCTCCTGAATTTCATATTTGTCATCACAGTGGCAGATGAATCGAGATACTGGAGAGGGATCATACACTTCTCTTTCTAGACATTCGTGTCCATAATGGCCTTTCTGCGTGCAGTGATAGCAATATGCTAAGGCTGATGGTCTTGAAGGGGTCTTCGGCTTTTTGGGTGGTCCAGGTTTGGTTGTTAGGTGATACTGCCTCCAGATTTCTGTGCAAGCGACTGTATAGTGGCCTAGCATATGACATCGGTCACACTGTTTATCCCAGGAACGTCTGAAAATACATGAGTGGTCCAACATCTTAGGCACAGGACAGTATTCGCAAAGTGGGGCTGGACAGGCATATAGGAGGTGTCCTTTCTCAGAGTACAGGAAGCAGCCACGAACTTTTGGTGGTAAGGGGCAGTTTTTTGATAAATGACCACATTTGCCACAGTTTCTACAGATAATGTTTTTGTTGGCTGAATAATATCACTGGGTCCATCATTAGTGCACCAAAGTCTGCTAAATATTTTGAGAGAGAAAATGATGGGGATGTGGCAGACTGTACAGAAACTGAACTTAGTTATATGTTATTGGATCCATTTCACTGGTCTACGAGGACTGGCATCACAGCTGAAAACAAAAATGCTATGGGAACTATGAAGTTTTATTTGTGGACATAATGCTCTGAGCTGACATTCATGCTTGCTAACCTATGAAAGGAAAGAAAACTAGATTTGGAGACAATATGATAAATAAGCGACTTAATTCTTCAACTTCACTATTTTGTAACCTTAAATAAATCACATCACCTCTCTGAACTTGAGTTTCCCTGACTGCTGTATGTAACCACTAATACCTGACCTGGCAGATTCTCAGGACTATGAGAGGATCCGTTATGACAATAAGGGAAAAAGACTCTGAAAACCACAAAAACCCATGTGAAGTTTGTTATGAGTATAATTTCTATGTGAACCAGCCCAGGACGTCTGGAAGTGAGCAGGTTTGGTTTTAGTATAAACCTGTATGTCTAGACAGATGGATGGTTCTGGTCTGCGAAGTTTCAAAAGCTCCATGTATTTCCACACCAAAGTTTTTCCCTCTTCTTAGGGTTTGATCTTCTGTTCTCTGAAAAGATGAGTTTTAACAGAGGGAAAAAAGAAAATCACGTTAGTGTTCAACTTTGTCTAGGACTCTTGTCATGACATTTCCATAGATAATCATAAAACAGATACCTGAGCAAGACGAAGTGTGTTCTGACGTCAGTAGTAGACATTGTCAGTGCTCCATTCAGGTTGCCTGATACTTCTTATTTGATCTGTGTGCCTGTTGGCCATCTGTGTCTCTTATTTTTTGTATCTACAACCTTCTTATCTGACTGTCATTGGCTACTGGAGCCATTGATGAATGAACGCACAGTAATGAGAATTGTCTCACTATTTACAATCCCTTTTCCTCAAAACAGAGACAGTTCAAAATCAGTAGGAGGCGGGTTTAAGACTATAAAAGCCCAGCTTTCTCTCAGAGAGTTTAGACAAATTTTAATGTATAATCTACACTTCAGAGCTAACCTGTGTAGTAGGCTGAGGCTGATACTGTGTCTAAAATTGCATCTTTACTTGGCTTCTCCTTTTTCTCTCCTGTCTTCCCTGCTATGTTACCTATTTATCTTTGGAGCACTGTCTTAATAAATGATTCTCATCCCAGGGTCTGTTTCTGGATAATCTGATCCAAGGTAAAGATCCTTAATTTTGAGAAAGTAAGATATATATATATATATTTTTTTTTTCTAAGTAGTTAGTTAATGATGCCAGAATGGATTTTTTCAAAGTCAGTGGGGAAAAAAATAACTAGGACAGAGACAGAGATAGTCATTTTGTTGGCAATAGAGGCATTATCCCAAAAGTTTCCCCTATCAAGACAATAGTGAAGTCTAGTGATATTAAATTTATTTAGTAGCAATTTAATAACCCTTACATGATATTTATTGTAGCAGGCACCAGGTACATATAAAACATTATTATTCAAACTACAGCAGGAGACATTTTTTTTATTGCATTTTAGGTTTGGGGGTACATGTGAAGAACATGCAAGATTGTTGCATATGTACACACCTGTCAGTGTGGTTTGCTGCCTTCCTTCCCCTCACCTGTATCTGTCACCCCCCGTCCCTCCCCCATTTCCCCCCAACGGACCCCAAAGTGTAGTGCTCCCCTCCCTGTGTCCATGTGTTCTCATTGTTCAACACCCGCCTATGAGTGAGAACATGCGGTGTTTGATTTTCTGCTCTTGTGTCAGTTTGCTGAGAATGATGGTTTCCAGGTTCATCCATGTCCCTACAAAGGACACGAACTCATTATTTTTGATTTGGCTGTTTAATATTCCATGATGTATATGTTCCACATTTTCCCTATTCAGTCTGTCATCAATGGGCATTTGGGTTGGTTCCAGGTCTTTGCTATTGTAAACAGTGCTGCAATGAACATTCGTGTGCATGTGAGCAGGAGACATATTATTTGAAAATAGTTGAAACTGGAATTTTATATTGCACTTAAAAATTAGGACAAAGGGTTTCTATAATTTATAAACTGTGAAACTTACACATATTCAGCATGGATTGCTTTTTATTAATTATCTCATTTAATACTCATTACAACCCTGTAAAACAATGATTGTCATTCTCATGTGAAGATAAGGTGAATCATATTAAAGCAAACAATACCATACAAAATGTACATAGAATAAGTGACTAATTTATTGTAGCCTAAATCAGGTATTGTCCAAATCCCATGCTTATTGGGCAATGCCATGATTTTTTTTAAGTAGAGCACAAGACAAGAATCACTCAAAAACAAACAAGAAAATGACAACAGCCTTTATTGCAAGTGACTTAATAAGCTATTGGATAAGGAAATATTTATATTTTAGCTCAATTAAATTGAATAGTGCAGCCTTCCCATATTTACATGTACTTTACTTAAATACAGATATGTATAAGCCTTCCCGTGTTAGCATTTAGTGGCATTTAGTGTATGGAAATCTTATTTTTTTTTGCCCCACTTGTAGTTCTGTAGCAAAGCTCCTGACATAACTGACATATAGATGATAGGATCCATGCATATAAGACATAGTTGCCATCCTTAGCTTAAAAGAGTGAAACGATTGTTATTGTTACAGATAAAAATGGAACTTTTTCAAGTCCCAACTCTGACACCCACTAGTTATGTGATCTTGTAAGAGTTAAACTTTGTAGCCCTGAGATTTCATTATTGGTAAAATGAAGATGCTAAGACTCCCGGGAGTTGTTATCAAAATTGTGAGGCTATGTATAGTTAATTATATATAAATACCACATTTTACTCATCCATTCATCTGTCCATAGACACTTGGGTTGCTTTCTTTTTTTAGGTATTGTAAATAATAGACATGGGTGTACAAATATCTATTTAAGACCCTACTTTCAATTATTTGGGTATACACTCAGAGTGGAATTGCTGGATCAAATGGCAATTTTATTTTTACTTCTTTAAAGAACAGACATACTTTTTTTTTAAGCAGCTATAACATTTTACAGTCTTAAAAAGGAAAGAAAATCTGCCACATGCTACAACATGGATGAATCTTGAGGACATTATGCCACGTGAAATAAGCCAGTCACAAAAAGACAGAAACTATGTAATTCCACTTGCCTGAGGTACTTAGAGCAGTAGAAATCATAGCACTAGAAAGTAGAATGGTGGTTGCCAGGAACTAAAGAAAGAGTGAATGGGGACTTATTATTTGATGGTGCAGAGTTTCACTTTTACAAGATGAAAGGAGTGCAGGCGATGGATGGTGGCCATGGCAGCACAATATCATGGATGTATTTAACACAGTGAATGGTACACTTAAACACGGTTATGATGGTAAATTTCTTGTTATGTGTATTTGACCATAATAAAACATTGTGGGGGGGGGACTTCCAACTACCACAAAGCAAAACAAAGCAAGCTGCAGAGTTAGACCCTCTGAGTTAGAATCCCAGCTTGACCTCCCATGGATGCCACCGGCAGCCGGGTCGGGGAGCGGGCGGGGAGAGAGAGAGATTAAAAAAAGAAAGAATGGTGGAGAATATGTATATTTGTAGGAAAATACCTGAAAATTATATATGATAATGTAATGCTCATTATTTATTTCCTTTTCCTCAGAAATGGGTGTTAAATCATAGGATCAAATAAAATGTCTTAGGAGGCAAACAAAGCAGAGGGAGGTTCAGGACAGGGAAAGGTCACTCCTGCTGGAATTATTACTCCTTTTAAAAGGGCAACTTTTGTGTAAGATATGGCTTCAAAGACTAGATAGATAATCCCTCTCTGTATGGTAATTGTGGGCTTCTTCTAATACATAAAGCAGTTTTCACCTAGAAAATATGCAAAACGTGCTACGCATTCTGGTTGGAGAAAGTTTGTTCATGTTTTTAAGCAATTATACTAAGAATCTATACAGATACTTAGGATCTATCATTACATTCAGAAAAACAAAACTTAAGCTTCTTTAGACATGTTTTCAGCGATTTAAATTTTTAGTAGTTATTTTAGAGAAATGAAGATTAATGCTCAGGGAAAAAAAAAAAAATCTCTGCTTTGATTGTCCACTGAACAAAGGCCAAATGCAACAAAGAGGCAAAGGACATTCTTTCAACTCCCTTGAAGTAAAAGCCTTTTGTACATTTTCTGGATTCATATGAGAAAAAAAAAAAAAAAAAAAAAAAGCAGAACCAAAAAGGAAATGAAGACAAGGGATGAGCAGAGCTTGTTTACTCCAATGTCTGTGATGTCCAGTGCTATTTCTTATTTAATAATCCACATAGAGAAGCGGTTGCTCTTTGTTCTCATCTCCTTCCCACCAAAGGGCCTCAGACCATGTCCTAAGAAGATTACGAGACTTTGTCTTTGATTCATTTGAAAGGCCATAATTGGACAACTTCAAACCCCATTTAAAATCTTTCTGTGGTACTTGAAGGTCCACTTCTGGACAAAGGTTTCTGTTAACTCTTTCTGAAGGGTAAGTCCAGTCGTCACAAGCCAGTGATGGGCTATGTACATTTAGGTGTCTGAAAAAACCCTGCAGAAGGAACCAACTACGTATCTGAAACTCACATTCATAATTTAATTTAATTTGCAAAATTACACCAAGAATTAGTCAGGGCAGACATTTATCTGATCTCCATGATTATTCTTTTCATTCCTATTATTCTTTATTAGTGCATTCTTTTTAAACTACTAGATTTTATTTTTTAAAGCAGTTTTAGACTTAACAGAAATATAGTTTGGTATACCTCTCACTCCCCTCTGCCTCACCCGTAGTTTCCCCTGTTTGCATCTTACCTTAGTGTGACAAGTTTGTTGCAATTAATGAGCCAATATCGATACATTATCATTAACTAAAATTTGTCCTTTACAGTAAAGTTCACTTTTTGTGTTGTATATACTAGAGGTTTTGACAAACTTGTAATGAC